AGAAACAAGAAGGATATCCCACATGAAGCATTTCATGGAGGTTTCATCTTAGAAAAGATTGGTTACCCAAAGTCAAAGGGGGAGCTGAAATTGATCAACACCAATGTCGACAACAACCCATCTGTTGTATTTAACTACTTTAGCCACCCTGACGACTTAAGGAGTTGTGTTCATGGAGTCCGGATGATGGAGAAACTCGTGAGATCGAAACCTTTCCTTAACTTCACTCAGTGTGACAACGAAACTGTCAACAAACTGCTTAATATGAGTGTCACTGCCAATGTCAACTTGATACCTAGACACACGAATGACACAGAGTCACTCGAGCAATTTTGTAAAGACACAGTGATCACCATATGGCACTATCATGGTGGGTGCCACGTTGGCAAGGTGGTGAACAATGATTATGAGGTTATGGGTGTGCATAGGCTTCGAGTCATCGATGGGTCCACTTTTGAGCAATCCCCTGGCACTAATCCTCAAGCGACTGTTATGATGATTGGAAGGTATACTATACTACTATAACGCATTTAATTTTTGAGATTGTTATTGTTTGCTTAAAATTGGTGTATATTATTGATACAAAAATGTGTATTAACCCATGGGTATTGTGCAATGTAGGTACATGGGAGTGAAGATTTTAAGAGAAAGGTTAAGAAAAGAAGGATCGTGAAAATAAATTAATGCAATGTGGAATGGTGATCGTGATGCTGATGTTATTTTAATTTTGTGAAAATTAATTAAAATAGAAATTCTTTGCAAGGATTAGACATCAAACATTTAGTTTGATGGTATCTGAATCGGTCTTCTAGATATTAATATCTTTAAGATAACGACTTCAAATCCCCTACTTGCATTCTTTGTGAGAGATGTAGAATATATATTAACTATGAGACTTTTAATTCTCCACTCCTATTGTATTCTAAGTGCTTTTGATATTTAAGTTGGGTACCAAGTTTGGTAGAGTTTCATTTAATTTCTTTTTAAGAACTTTTTGACATTTTAGTTGTATTCTTGTTGAAATTTTGATGCTTGAATACAATGTTAGAGAGACAACAGCAAATGCTTCAAGCTCCAAATCCATGAAACGTGATGCCATGCATGTAACTTCATTATAGTTCGATTTGTTTTCTAATCATGAGGAATATGAATTTTGTTGATCATAAGTGTATTAGTTTGGATTCTAATGATTGGCTGGTTTTTTGACAACACCATATAGTCACCATTTGCTAATAGATAGTTGAATCTCACCTCCTAGTGTAGAATTAGGGTAATTCAAGCTCTAACTTCATGAACAAGTTGTACTATAGCATAAATGATTTGTACCTTGTGTTCCGGACATTCTGGGGATCATATATCATAGATTAGACGTTAAATTATTTCTTGCATCCCAATCTGGAAGTCAAAATGATGACCTAGAATGAACTAGAGTTTGATCCTCAGAATTGGACATTCCAAAGAGGATGATTGTGGATTGAGTTCCAGCGACCATTATGAAACGTTTGCCCCCTTATTTAACTCATATAATCTAGTTGAACTATGGTTTTTGTCTGCAATTTATGAGACTCCATGAATCCAATGTAATTCTAAGGAGAATAGTGGGAAATTATGTCTCTTGAACTATGGAATGGGAATTGATGATTCCATTGCTAGAAATAAAGGATTACACTCACTTGGAATGAAGTTTAAGAAATGATTGTGTATCCTAATAAGTCATACATTACCTTTTAAAAGGAAGTTAGATTGCTCATTTTGGTCTTTGGTTGGACATCATTGCAATTGATGTCTAAACTGAAAAGCTTAGCTTAATCCACAATCCAACAATGACACGGATGTTAAAGAGTGTTAATTCATGTGTAATGAAGTTGTTAAAATATATCAATCATTGAAAATGGTTTAAAAAAGGGGTTCGGAGGTTTGGGTGCAAGATGATCATAGTACATTGTCTAAAAAGAAAAGGAAAAAAAAATGCCTAACTCACGCGGTTCGCGTGAGATCCACATGAGCCGAGTATGCTTTCACAAGGTTATGGATATCCCATACACCTCAAAAGTCATGAATCATTTTATCTATTAATTTCTCATTTTAACAACATACTTTGGCAATATGCATATTCAAGCAATTATCAATCGTATAGACTATACTTTATCTCTTATAAATACTTCATATACCATTTTAGGTTACTTTAACATTGTCGAATACCCAATTTATTTCATCAAGATTTTCACCTTCCATCCTTTTTGTTTTCATTTTCCTAATAGAGCATCATACTTTCCTCACACTATTTTGTATAGGTGTTCAAGCTTACCTCTCACCATCATTATAATTTTCATCATTTTAGTATTATTATCTTGTTTAGAAGCTTAACTTCCATTTACACATTCCTCCTATTTTGACATCTTTCCTTGTCCTCATTACCTAATTATGGTAATGTACATATCTAAGATTTCCTCGTTCTTGCGCATAACAATTGCACATGGATCTCATCTTTATCAAGATAAATTCAAGACCACAAGCTTAAATTCTTTTTTTTTTGATAGATTTCCTCGTATTTGACCAGAATTGACCATAATAGATTGGGCTTCAACGTCTTCCACTTAAACCCTACTTTCTTAAAACCCCCGTGGTTAGACTCATTTTACAGTGATAGTAGACTCATTCGGTTCGCTTTGTTTTTGGCTTCAACATCCCTACCACTCTGTTTTCGGCTTTTCACCAGCCATGTATCGGTTCGCTGCAGCGTTAACTTCCTCGATCAAGTATTCGTCTTTCTTTCGATTCATTTCTTGACTTATAATTCATAGCTTAATTGATAATCAAAAATAGCTGATTAATTTATCATTATTTGTATGTAGGTCGTCCACATCAAGGAAGCTGGTAAGAATCCCGTTCAATTTTTTCTCCGTTTTGTTAGGTTTTCGAACTAGGGCAAATCTATGGCGAGGTTTAATGTTTGGTTGTTGTTGCTGTTGCTTCACTATGTTCATTATTCTAATTCATTGAAGCTGTCGATCTTGATTCTGTTGAAATAATTGACATGGATGATTGGAAATGTCGGAAGGTACATGGTAGAGTCATTTGGAGCAGAAACTATGTTGCAAAGGATATCGAGTTTGGATCTAGGGCTCGTGCTGCCATGTTGCTTGGTGTAAACCAGCTTGCTGATGCTGTAAAGGTCACAATGGGACCAAAGGTAGCTTTCTTCAGCCTCCATGTTCTTTTCGCCAATAAAATCATTCTTACACGCTTATGTTGCAATCAGGGCCGTAAGGCTACATGAGTAGTCACACTCGTCCCACCGGAAAAGTGCTGCCACTTATGCGCCACGTCAACTTCACACCACCCCACCAAAAAAGTGTTGCCACTTATGCGCCACGTCAGTTTCACACCCAACCCACCACCAACCCACTAGACCTTGGAAATGGTTACCACTATACAAATTCCTTTTTTTTTTTTGACATTATATTAAATAAAAAACAAATTACAAACCATAATTTAAAATAAAACCATAATTAATATAAAAAACACAAATTAAAAAACAAAAACACACATTACATTAAAATTAAAAACACATTACATTAATATAAAAAACACAAATTAAAATTCTAAAATTCTTAAAAAAAAACATAAAAAATTAAAATCCTAAATTACTTAAAACCATAAATAAAATCCTAAATTTCTTAAAACCATTAAGATTAGAACCTAAAGTCCATATTTTTTCCGGACTTGTCGTTGAATTTTAAGAAATGTCGCATGATTTTCCGGGTTGAGATCCGGTTGGGGCTTCGTGTTTATGATTTGAAGATCGGTAAGAGCTATTTTTTGGCGGTTAGCGGCCTTCGACGATTCGTATTTTTTTTTCTAGAAAAACTAGAGCTTTATCTATGGATGTCGCAAGCTCGCTGTCGCTAGTTGCCGGTGCTTTTCCGCTTGAAGACGCTCATTTTCTTGCTTTGTCCCGTCCGGTGGTCGACGAAGTTGGACGTTCGGTGGGCCCTCCCCCTCAGTGGCGTCGAAGTCATCGTTGAGGTCGAGTCCAAAACCCACGTCCGACTCGGACGTTCTTGCCCTTTTGTTGGAATCGGTTGTAGATCCCGAATGCGCCATTTTCGGATATAGAACCCATTTTGGACCGTTACGACAAACTTCTCACGCTTTTTGGTGGCCGAACGGTTTACCGTTAGTGGTAACTTTGTATTCGTAGGACGCAGCCGCTAAAATGTTGAAGTCGTTGCTACCACTTCTATGCATATTTTTAAGCTTGTCAAATATGCCATTGATTTTGGTGCAAGCTGCTCGTAAGTCACACTATTTTGCGTTGATTGAGTCGTACGTCCGCTCCGTTTTCTTTCCTAATAACGCGTGGAAATGATCTAGAATACGACACCAAAAACTTTTACCCGATTGTGCGTTGGCGACATCCCTGTCTTGGGATATGAAAATCCAAGCTTTTACTAAAGCTTCCTCCTCGTCTTCGTTCCATGCGGTAGTCTTTTTTTTCTTGGATCTTTGGTTTTTTTTTTTTTTGCCTTCGACGAGTTGGTTGTTGTGTTTCTTGGACCGTTCGTCGTCGTCGTCATTGTCAAGATTTATAGGTTGAGATTGAGATGGTTGAAATTGTTGAGAAGGTTGTTGAAATTGTTGGGAAGGTTGTTGTTGAAAGGCTTGGAATTGGGGTTGATTGAATTGTTATGGTTGTTGTTGGTAGAAAGTTTGTGGGTATGAAGTGGTGAATAAAGTTTGTTGTTGGATTGGGGAGGTTAGCAATTGCATGTAACTAACATTTGCATTTGGAGTGTTTGGAGTGTTGGGGGTGTTTGGATTTGAATCCATGTTGAGAGAAAAAAAATATGAGAGATGAGGTTTTTTTGTAGAAGGTAATAAAATATAGAGAGTGTTTTTTGAAATGTAAAATGTAAGTAGAATAGTGGATAATTTATAGGTGTAAATATTTGTGTTTAAATGGTAAAAAGTAATTTTTTTTATGTTAGAAACGGCTATATAACCGTTAGTTTACAAGTTCCGACCGTTACAAATTAAACGAATTGTGATTGGGCGTCCTCTTGCGTCTTTGGCACCACGTCACCAGCACCCCACCGGCTTTGGGGGCTGTGTTCACGCGTAGGAGAGGTTGTCACCTCAGCCCAAGACGCGTGAAACTACCCCCATATTGGGTAGCCTAATGTGATCATTGAGCAAAGCCATGGAAGTCCTAAAGTCACAAAAGATGGTGTCACAGTAGCCAAAAGCATCAACTTTTAGGAAAAGGCGAAAAACGTTGGTGCTAATCTTGTAAAGCAGGTTGCAAGTGCAACTAATTCTGCTGCTGGAGATGGTAAAACAAAGTCAACATATGTGTATCCATTTGAATTATTAAACCTTTATGTTAAATGCCAAATTCTCATTTCATAAAATACAATGTCATTACAGGTACAACTTGTGCTACTGTTCTGACACAAGCAATATTCACTGAAGGCTGCAAGTCTGTAGCTGCAGGTGTAAATGTTATGGATTTGAGAAGTGGTATTAATATGGCTATTGATGCTGTTATAGCTGATTTAAAAAGTCGAGCAGTAATGATAAGTACACCAGAAGAAATTACACAGGTTTTATGTTTTTCTTTAAATACTTCATGCTTAAAAAGCAATTGACAACTGAGTTTTTGTTGAATTTGAATTAGGTGGCCACTATATCTGCCAATGGAGAGCGTGAGATTGGTGAACTTATAGCAAGAGCCATGGAGAAAGTTGGAAAAGAAGGAGTCATTACAGTTGCTGTAAGATAAGAATTTAATTTATCATATAAGTATAATTAATTTGTTTTTTCAGATTTAATTGTTCAATAATCGTGCAGGATGGTAATACTTTGTATAATGAACTAGAAGTTGTTGAAGGGATGAAGTTAGGCCGGGGTTACATCTCTCCTTATTTTGTTACAAACACAATGACACAAAAATGTGTATGTATAAGCTATCAATTATATACATGAAGAATGTGTTTAATCAAATTTAATAATCATCAATTAGTGACATGTCTGTTTTTGCATGTAGGCAGGAATTAGAACATCCATTGATCTTTATTCATGACAAAAAGGTTTCAGACGTTAACTCGCTTGTCAGAATTTTGGAGCTCGCTTTAGGGGTAAAAAAGTCTTTTCTTCTCTGTGGATCAGTGACACATTGGATTAAGCTCCCTTTCTTTTAACCATTTGTTAACTTTTTATATGTTTTGAATTAAATTATTGGAACAGAAAAACAGACCCCTATTAATTGTGGCTGAAGATTTGGAAAGTGAGCTGTTGGCAATGCTGATTATTAACAAGCGACAAGTTGGACTCAAGGTGAGTGTCGTATTAAATACCATTAACACCATTATATATTATTATTTCCATGATAAATTCAAGTGAAATGATTTTTATTTTTTACACATAGGTGTGTGCAATTAAAGCTCCTGGCTTTGGAGATAACCGAAGAGCCAATCTAGAAGATTTAGCAGTACTTACAGGTGGAGAGGTGAGAGAAGCATCTAAATTCTTTAAATCATAACCATTGATCTTTATGCACTCATAAGGGTAATATCGTAAATATCCAGGTTATCAGCGAGGAACGTGGGTTGACCCTTAATGATGTGCAACTTGAAAAAAAAACTCACAACACTGAAAATTGTACTTAGGACTTGATTTTTGTGTGTGTACTAGGTTATTGTTTCTCTTGATGATACAATCATTCTACATGGTGGTGGTGATAAGAAGCAAATTGAAGAAAGGTGTGAGGAATTAAGGTGAACCATGTTTGACAAAGAGAAGGCACAAGAGAGATTATTAATCTGATATTACAAAGTTGGTTTTTGTTTTATGTTGGATTGATTACAACAGTAGCCTTCCCTTCACATCTTGTACAACATCAAGCATGTAAATTGTTAAGAGCTAAACGGCATGCCAACAATTTTATTCAAATAACAATCAGCTCCAACCCAAACCAGAGAGGTTTGAAACATGCAATATGTCAAAAAACCAATAGGACATACAACCATACTAGTTGTTTCTCACTACAACACTACAAGAAAAAGACCCTTTAACAAAGCGCAAACCACGACACTCAGTGATTTATGTTACACAAAAGGGAGTGATATTAAAAAAGTGTCATCTCTTCAAAAAATTTAAGGATTTATGTCACGTGTTATTGTGTGCCCTTAGATTAATGTCTCATGTAAAAAAAATAAAAACATGGAGGGCACTTTATCTAAAATGTGCGCCCTCTGTGAATGTCGCTTTATGTTTTCCTCAAAACGCGCGTTCTTGAATGGGGGAAATGAAATCCCCAAAAATTAAAACCCCCCTATTCCATGTGAAAAATTAAAACCTGCTCATCTTCGTCTTCCTCTCTCTCTCTCTCTCTCTCTCTCTCTCTCTCTCTCTCTAACCTAAAAGGCCAACCTGCGATTTCATAGAGATTGTTATTAAGATTTAAGAAGAAAAGAAGAAGACAAGCAAGGATAATACTACTAAATTCCACAAAATCGCAGGGACTAGGGCTTTTTTTTCAAGAACAGAAACACTTGGTGCTCTCTGGCCTCTACAACAATCGATCGATGATCTCGCCTCACCTCGTTGGCAACATCTTTGCTCACTTCTCCTTCAACGACCTTAGGGGTATTTTCCTCCGGCGACCTCGGGCTCATGTGACCTCGTCAGAAACTGCTCAAATTTCCACACCCTATCCCGACTAAGATATGCTATGTTTATTCTCTCTTCCTAATGTTTTTGTTCTTCTATTTCTTTAATCTCTCCTCTATTCATAGCTTTGATTTCGATTTTGGATCTTCTCATCTTCTCCTGTGAAAACCCTAACTGAAAAACTATGCAGGTTTCAATGGTGATTTCCTCATCATTCCACGGTTCTCACTTCTACTCTCTAAGCATCTCAGGTATGCTTTGTTCCTTCTCCCTTATTTTAATTCTTCTTGTTTGAATTCTTAGGTGTGTTAGGGTTCGGATGTTTCACCTTTTCCTAAACCAAAATTCCATTAATTCAAGATACAATCTTCCGTGCTAAATTATATTAATTCAATGACATATGTCGGTTAGGTTTTCACAAGGTGAAATTTTAGGAATCGAAGATGGGTAGTTACAGTGATAACGAAGGTGATTTTTTTGACGCCCGTGAGGCGTTTGCTTCAATGTCTGACTCAAGCTCCGATTGCTCCCCAGAAGACTATTCTACCTCTGGATTTGACTATGATTATTGGGTTGGGAATCTGGAAAAGGGTTAGCGAACCATATGATGTTGTACATCACGCTACATAGCAACTTTAGGGGCATTTAAGGTATTATACTACTTATATACTCACAATATGGGTTGAAACCTGTAAGTTTACTTGAAAGAGTTTTCTTACAAACACACAAAAGAGCTTTGTTACACGTATACACCTCTCATTTCAAGTTGAAACAAATCTATCTATCCCCCCTTCTCATCCTCGCACAAATGGTTGAATAGGTACTATAGTGTGGAGTTCTAATGCAGTGTGTGGAAGAACTAACAACAATGAAGGTCAGTTTTATAACACGTGCAAATGAAGGTCAGTTTTATAACATATTTTCTTTATTTAAGATTTTATGATTGATTTCATTTCATTATCTTTTAATCATTTGTTATTAATTTTCAGATATCTAATACACCATATAACAGGTCGTGAGCATATAACAGGTCTCATGTCTCAGGCAGGTTCGTGAGCATATAACATGTCTCAGGCAGTGGGTTGGCCAGATCAGAATCTGCATTTTACTTTATGGAGTTATGCTTGTTTTGTGTTTGTTTTTGAATCTCTCGTTTTATACAGAGCAAAGCAAAAGTAGAAAAGAATCAAGCTCTGGAACACTCGATGAGTGAGAACTCATGTCAACTATGTGCAGTTGAAAAGCTGAGTTTTGAACCCCCGCCTATATATTGTACACCTTGTGGTGCTCGCATCAAGAGAAATGTTATGTTCTAAGTATACATCTATATATCTATATTCGAATTTCTTGTGGGGTTGTGCACTGCAGTGGGATCAATGTGACAGGTGTGAAGCCTGGCAGCATCAAATATATGCACTATTTAATGGTCGAAGAAACGATGGGGGGCAAGCAGATTATACTTGTAAAAATTGTTATATGGAAGAAGTTGAAAGAGGAGAGCGGATGCCTCTACCATAGAGTTTTGTACTTGGAGCAAAGGATTTACCTCGAACCATACTTAGTAATCACATAGAGAGCAGGTTGTTGTGAAAGCTGAAGTAGGAGAGACTAGAGCACGCAAGGTTCTATGGGAAAACGTATGATGAGGTGATGTTATAATCCCCCCCCCCCAAAAAAAAAAAAAAAAAAAGACAACTCCATACCATACATTGTGAATGAACAATAAAGTATGCATCTTATATTTTCTTTATTATCAGGTTCCTGGAGCAGAAGCACTTGTTGTCAGAGTGGTCTCTTCTGTGGACAAGAAGTTGGAAGTCAAGTAACGATTTCTTGAGATCTTTCAAGAGGAAAATTACCTTGTGGAGTTTGGGTATAAGTCTAAGGTGTTTCAAACGTAATACTTTTGTTGATTTGTTTATTATAGCATCTTTCCCTACATTTCTTCCTATTACAATATTATACTTTTTTTTTGTCCCCAAAAACAAACCCGTCTTGAAATTTATCGTTTAAGATGATCTTAGGACATGTTTGGTTCATGGATTCCAACGGAATCTAAAGGAATTAGATCTTGAATTCCATTACTGGAAATGGGTGCTAAGAATTGAATTCCATACTTTAGTTCATTAAATGACTAAATTGTCCTCACAAACACACGTTTTTTTTACTTTCTGGTTTCTTGAATAAGTTTACAAACCAATCAAAATTCCATTCTGGGACATGTTTGGTTTATGAATTCCAACTGAATCCAAAGGAATTGGAATCTCGGATTCCATCACAGGATGTGTTCAGTTGTGGTGGCTCATATAGCTTTTTGTTTCATTTATTACCCAAACATGAGAACACTTCTTGGTGTATGTACTAATATTGTTATATTATTAACTTATTACTACGAAATGTTTTGTAAAAAAAAATTAATTGATTCAAAAAAATTGTCAATTTTCAGGTTATAACAACAGATGCTCGTGTAGATACTGACATCTGGAAAAAGATGGTACATGTAGTTGTGAAGGGGCAACTACAGGCTTATTATAACTGGGCTATTGCCATATCTGATAGAGTCAAACTCCATGGACACACAAAGGAAGCTGAAGAACTATGGAAACAAGCAACAAAGAATTATGAAATAGTTGTCAAACTAAACTGGAACAGTCGACAGGTAACTTTTAAAAAAAAAAAAAGATAAGTAGCTCTATTTCATTTGTAAATTCTCTGCTTCTTGTTTATGACTTTGTGATGAAATTAAATTCAGGCTCTTAACAATTGGGGACTTGCTTTACAGGTGCTTCATTTAAAACTTTCTAATATACTCCTAAACATTTTATATGTTTTATTTATGTACATTGATTAACATCAATAATGGGTGTTACAGGAATTAAGTGCAATTGTTCCCGCCCGTGAAAAACAGACTATAGTAAGAAGTGCAATCAGTACGATAAACAAATATTATAAAAACTTCACCTTTTTTCTTATAATTTTTCACCATGAATGGATTGTTATTAACCGCATTTATAACCACCTATGAAGTTTCGTGCATCAATATAGTTGCAATTTGACTTCCACAGAGCAATTTACAACCTTGGCACTGTTCTAATCAGTTAGTCTATGTAATCTTTTTCCCAATATAATAAAATCATTATATACTATTTATGAAATTTTATATTTTTATCATGAATAATCTTGTTTTGTTGCAGTATGGATTAGCAGAAGACACATCAAGAACTGGAGTACCAATTGTTGGGAATGAGATTCCTTTCAATGAATTTTACAGTCAATCTGCTATCTATATAGCATGGGATGGAGAAGGGGCAACATGTGTGATAGAGGTTTGTTTTTTTTTTGGGCAGAAGGGTATTTATGGAAATGGGAAATTATGCAGGTGACAGTGAGTGGTGCAGGGAGTGAAAGTGAAGCAGCAATGATTGCACGTTTAGTGGCATCTTCTCCACTTACCAAGGCATGATGGTTAATATGTTGTTATTTGAAGGTGAAATAACTGTTTCCAATGATATAATGATGATTTTTTATGGTATGTTTTATTAGGTGGTAATTTATGGCAGGGATCCAAATTGGGGGCGGATAGCATGTGCTGCAGGGTATGCGGGGATTTGTTTTGACTGAAATACCCTTAGAATAGCACTTGGAGATATTCTACATATGTAAGGAGGCCAACCACTTCCATTTGATAGGTAACAGTAACACCATACATGATACATGATACATGATAATTGAAATACTGAAAATGCGGGTGTGTTCCAGGTCAGGAGCTAGTAATTACCTAAAAGAGGCTGGTGATGCTCATGGCACTGTCAAAATTCAAATATCCATAGGTAACTTTATTATTAAGTCATTCTTTCTGCATTAAATCAAAAAGAAACTTGTGTTATTTATTTGTTTATTTTGGGTGGAACGTGAACAGGGTAACTTTTTGTTTTACGACACGAATTGTTATTTGTAGTTGAACAATTCGGACGGAAGGGAACAGAGGAAGAATATGAGGACGAGGGGGATTATGAACAAAAGTTGCATTCAACTACAAATAAAAACTCGGTATAATTTATACTTTTGTGTGGTACGTGTTTTTTTTAACATCAATCATGGATATGTTACCTGAAGTAAGACCTCTTAATCCTAAAACTTGTATGTATGAGACAAGTCTTGAGAAATTAAGAGATGAAAGTTGTAATAAAATCAAAGTAAAATCTTACTATTATGAAACTCTTTTGGTTAAACCTACCTCATTGACTTGTAGTTGATTACACATTAATTTAATTATGCAGGTTTTTAAGTTTTTGATGGAAAAGAATAGTGTTAATGCTCTTCATAGAAAAGTATGTTGGTATGTTAGGAAATTTGGCTAATAATTTAGTTAATTATATAAAAATTGTTGAAATGTTACATTTGTCTATTATTGGAATGATTATTTGATGTATTAGAATTGTCTACTATTAGAATGATTATTTGTATGATATTAATTTTTGTGCAATGTATTGTATTTTTTGTATATGGTATTTTATTTTCTATTATGAGACATGAAATGCAAATTTAATTTGAAAATCAGTAAATCTATAAATAATTTAAAAAAATTAAAATTAAAATTACGATACGCAAAAATGTGTGTCATCTTCATTTATGACATGGCCTTTCTTGACAGGGGCTTCTTTGATACGCATTGCGTGTCATAAACATGCGCGTCGTAAGGTTACGACACACAAATGCGTGTCGTCTTCCTTTATGACAAGGCCTTCCTTGATACGCATTGGGTGTCATAACCGCGCGTCATAAATGTGCGTCATAAATGCGCATCGTCTCTCTTTATGACATGGCCTTCCTTGACGCGCATTTGCGCGTCATCTGAGCGTTTTACGGCGCGCAATGAGCATCGTAAAAGGCTGTTTTTCTAGTAGTGCAAGTTGTATAATGAGCATAGAAATTACCAAAGTGATGATCTTGTATTGTAATGAAGAGTATCAACTCCAACGTCTTCAATCTCTGCAACTGCACCATCACCAGAGGCAACAATTGCTTTGGTTTCATCAGCATCTTCTTCTTGTTCACAAGAGCTGGAAACACAAAATTTATCTGTCTCCCAAAGGACATGCATTATGCTCTCCCGTGATGAATAACCATGACTAGGCGAGAGAGTGCCCCATGCCCCTTCAACGCATTGAAGAAACGATCCGACTGCACAGATTACAGAATAATATAATGTATTTTCACAGGATATAACTCAGGAACACTGACAATGCAGGTGGATGAATGCATGCCTCCTTGCGAGCCAAAGCAGTGGTGATGTTGGGCCTATGCCTGCAAACTCATTAGCTAGCTGCTTCTTTGTTTTTAAACTCTCCAGGATACGACCACACCAGACAAGGCAGAGGCCCGTCTCGTACCCAGGTGGCAGGTATAAAGTTGCAGTCAGCTGGACTCCATCCTTTCTCTCGTACCTCACCATCTCCTTCTATAATGAAGCCAATTTAGGGTATGGATGTGGGAACCTTGTGATTTGGCATGCTTTCCTCTCTGGCCATCTCTGTATGTAATACTGTGTGTTTTCAGTCTTAGACTCTTTGGAAGTCAGGAGTCCACCCTTTACCAAAATATAATATTAGTAGTTATTATTATACAAGACACTTTTCAAGGTTTTCAAGTAAGTTATTACATATTACATATTACATACCGATAGAGAGTTGAAGGCTTATCTGCCCTCCAGTTCAAGGAGCGCATGCCTTTTCGGACACTGTTAAAAGCAATTGGGATGTCCTAAAAAACTTTCCATCAGCAGCAGACCAGAGATCAATCTTTTTGGGAAATCTGCCACATGGGACAGTAAAAGAGAAGGGTCTATGAAGCGAAGTAAGTAAAATGTATTTCTGATCAGGGGAGGGATCAAGTGATGTGTACAGAGCTGGCTCCCCAAATAACTTCAGACTCCCATCTAAAGAAACCAAAAAAAGAAGCTGTGAGGTGGCATAATACTCAAACAGATCTTCATTATATTCATCTTTAAGAAGATCTTGGAAGGTTCGAACTTGAACAACAGTTTTCTGCTCATTGGATTGGATTTTAGGACTAACGGTTTCTTTGGTGGCTTTCCTCTGGATGCTGGGATTGTACAAACCAACAGAGTCGAATCATTCACCCACACGTAATTGCCAATCAAATTTCAAAACAAACATTTTACTATTTACCAAACAAGATATAAAAAAATATAATATTTCAAGATAATCCACACTTGCATTCAGGAACACATCCGGTGACTGAAACAAGGGTTTAGCTTTTCCTATCTCCACATCTGCAACCCATACTCTCAGCTTGCTGCCAACATCATCCTTTTCCTCCTGTTTCACTTAAGCTCATCAAACAACAGAATGGATACAACTATTTTCTAGTTGCCAAAGGAGCTATAATCATGGTGGTTCATTTTCAAACACCAACATCAGCTGTATGTTGGCCATTACCTGCTGAAGGCTAAATGACGACCATCAGTTGACCTAACATTAACACACAACACATAGAATAACATTAGTCTATTCAAATTCCGAGGTTACCATGTAACAAAATTGAGTTTAGATCCATCTGGAAAGCCATGTATCAATTTTTCTGGGCCTAATGTGCCATCATCTCTTAGATCGTGGATCCCAATACCAGTATAGAATGACCTACATGTAAACAACCAAAAATATTTATTTATTTATTAACCAGTCCACATGAAAGCAGGCAACATAAAAAGTTGACATTGTATTACAATTTACAAATTAACAATAAGCAAGAACAAGCATCCTTATCACCCACATCCTGCTGCGGCTATTAGATTTCCCATCAATACCAACGCATGCAAGCTTGTCCTCTGGTTTCGCAAATTCTGACAATGGAGGTAAAGATCTTCGCTTCAAGAACAAAATTTTATCTCTCTGTGGAGAAAATGATAAAGCTGGTAGTGGTGGAGCATCAACAATATCTCTGATCTCTGCTGGAGGAAGATGGTATCCACTGTATAATTCTGATTGCACATTTAAAATGAGAAATAGACTCCATTGCAGACTTATGTCAATTTCTCAAATACCTAATGAAACCATAAGCATGTTAAAAACAAGTCGTGAGTGAATTTAACAAAGTTCAAATTGTATTCAATCGATTGCCTACCCAGGTTTGAAACTATCAGTATCAGAGCAGATTGACAACAAGTCTAAGAAGCCGATTTTGATTTTATATGCGAAAGACTTGTATGGATTTTATTCCAACATAAGAAGTCTCCCTATCATATAGATTAAATTGTAACTAGCCTAGCACCAAAGTCAGGGTGGTAGTGAGTATTTCACTTGTTTTTTACTTGGAACACATCTGTTAACATTAGCAGTCAGCAGTTTACAGAATCCTTGAATTCCAATTTCCTGGCTACAAACCAAATTTTCAGAGCAGACTCAATCGAAATGAAATTTCCTATACTTTGGGTGGGACATTAAACAAAACTATCGGATTACAAGCGATCATCCAATTTAATAACCAGTGCTTCCAGAAAGAATCAATTCAGATGAATATCGAAAAACAAGTACCATCATCTTCAGGCGTAGCTGTTGACCCATTAGGACCAGTAGCGTCTTCGGTAGCGATTGCGGCAAGAGGGACAAGATTGTGTAATTGTGAGGTAGACATGGTTTGAAGAAAAGGGTTGAGGGTGGAAGGCGGTGTTGATGATGATATTCGACAACGTTTGGAAGATAGAAAAAAGATGGGGAATAAGAAGTGAAGAGGGTTGAAGATGGATGAGGAAGAAAAGGGGGTGAAGTGAGGGAAAAGAGAGAGAACCAGTGATAGACTTTGTGTAGGCGCATGACGATGGAATCTTGTTGGAGTGTCTAATATGTAAAGCGTCTTGTCTAATGCGCATCCGTAGAATGAACCGCACATCATACATACTTCTAAAGCTAGCATTTTTTCTTGAATCTCATGCATTTGAAACCCCCATTCTTTTTTCCTTTCACCACATTCATTTGAAACTCCTATGACTTTTCAATTTCCTTATAATAATAATTATAATTTGGTAATTAGGTTAAATAAATATCAAATCTAAAATGTATTCATATATAAACTAAATTTCAATATTAAAATAATATCTTTAATTCTACTTATAAAATTATGTTTTTTAACTTTTAACATATTATACTTGATTTATTAGTTTTAATATATTGTTGGATGTAAACCATTATCATTTTAAAGGTATAATTTTTGAATAATTTGTATAATATACTTAAATTATTAATAAAAATATAACATTATAGGCTCAACTTAAATATAAATTTTATTTAACTTAAACAACTCAAAGATTATTTTATAAATAGTTAAAAGTGATAAATTGTAGTGTCTCTCTAATAATGATTGTAAGTTGGTTAATAAGGTTAAATAAATATTAAACCTAGAGTGTAATCATAAATAGACTAAATTTCAATTTTAAAATAATATATTTATTTCTATTTATAAAGTTATGTCTTTAAATTTTAACATATTATACTTAATTTATTAGATTTAAAATGTTGTTGCATGTAAACCATTATCAGTTTAAAACTATAATTTTTGAACAGTTTTGAGAAAATACTTAAATTGTTAATTTAAATATAACATTACAGTGTCAACTTAAATATAAATTTCAGTTCCACTAAAAAACCAAATAATATTTTGAAAATATTTAAAAGTGATAAATTATAGTGATAAATGCAAAAACTAAATTGTAATATGAGTTTAACTAAAATATTTCTTAAATATATTTATATAATCGTTAAAAAATTTCAAATAAGTAGCTTAAAATAACTTATAATAACAATAATTAAAAATAACTCTATATAAATGATTATATTGTTACCTTTACAATCAAAAAATAATGTTTGATATTTTAAATTATTATAATGATAGAAATTAAAACATTAAGCAAATAAAATTTAAAAAAAAAATAGTTAAAAATAACAACTATAAATAATATTAAACCATATATATAATATTTAATTTTATTGATGTGTAACTCGCGAGTAAAAGTCATTCAAATGATTGAGATTGTGACATTATAATAGATTTATATATTATCATATAATTCAAAATAATCAATATATATATATATATATATATATATATATATATATATATTATATCAAATTAATATCCGAATTATTATATCAAATTTGATAACAATGTTATTGTTATATTTAAAAAATCATATATTTGTAAAGACTTCAACTGTATAGGTGTTTATGCGCAACGCGCGGGCATTTGCCTAGTAGAGTAATAAACAGTGGATGATGTGCTCATCCCTAATTGAATTCAGGATTTTTGTTATTGGACCCTTCCCCTCTTTTTGGATTATGAAACCATTTTCTCCCATTATTTCTAAAAAAGGGTAAATTACATGGATGTTGTAGGTTAGGGTAATCTATGTATTTGTTTAGGGTAGTTTATGTATTTATTTTTAAGATTTTATTTATTTATTTATTTATTATTATTTTTTAATTCGAACCGTCTTTATTTTATAATTTTGTTACATGTTTGGTCCCTATCCGTTTAAAAAGACTATTTTACCCTCATCTATTTATATTTTTAATTAAATTTTTATTTATTTATTTATTTATTATTTAAATATTATTTATAATTTAATAAAAAGTAATTTTCCCAGACCTACTGAAAACTGTAACGATCCAAAAATTATAAGGTAAAATTTTCATTAGTTTAATTAGAAACACCAATTATCTTTTCCCAAAATCATCAAGTTGCGAAAACATTGATGGATGCGTTGTGATCAAGCGGGGTTCTTCCCTTTCGAATCGGAAGTACCTGAAACCATAATCATAAAATCCGTAAGCACAAAGCTTAGTGAGTTCCCTAAATACCACATACCATATATATCATTGGGTCTAGCCCACTGTGACATCCCCAATTTCAAGGCCAAAAAAGACCGATTTGTTTATGATTTATTTGAAAATCAGAGTATCCTTTAAAAGATATATGTTGCGAAATTTGTTCCTAAAAATATGACGCGATGAACTCGCGTAGCCTCTCATCTGCTAGCTCAGAACCTGATCCCGAACCCGATCCGTCTCCAGAACTGCCAACTGTTGACCTCTGACGTAGTACCACCATTCTGCAATACATACATGCAACTATTAGTGATACTGATATCTTTAAAGGGATCACATCTATTACAAGTTCCTCCGTCTTGTCTTAGCCTTCCTCAAGTCGGGTACGGATCCTCTGCTTTCAGTAGTACGGGCCCATACTACCTTCCACATATATCCGTACCTTCTTCAAGGACCGCCTTGACTCCACCAGATCCCTTTTACCACAGCTGATATCTGGTACTCTTATCCTAGGCTTACCCTAGGAAACCTCTGACCCCACCTAAACCAATCCTCAGCTGCTGAAGGTCTCTTTGTAATGCCAATTATCCATTACCTGAATACAATCACATGCAACGAGGCCCGGATAATCATTCGAGTAAGGGACTCATCCCTACAACGGTTAGGACTCAAACAAGAGCTACGCAATAGGATCAAATCCAACACTCTGAGATTATTCAACCCTGATCACATGTGACTTAAACGTATTCACCTAACAACTAACTCCCATCACTCAAAGCCCATAAAGCACAAAGCAAACAACATTCAGATAAAATGAACAATCTCAAGCAACTATATCCTCATAACAGGAACTGCACTAGCATACAATGCTAAGCTAATACTATCATGCATAACCTATACAAGCTATCCTACTGCTGTCTACTCAAATCTAGCATGTAACTCTCATAAGCTGAAGCATATAAAGCAAGCACATAAGGCATCACTCCTAGATCCTTAGTCCTATTCTAGCATGTTGTTCTACTGAAACTGATAAACGTAACATAAACTTGTATGGGTACTTTGGGAAATACTCACTTGAGCTCGACCGGTCGCGCACATCACATACTTCGTTCTTTCTCAAAACTCTTTACTTAACTTATAGAAAACATTTCTTTTTTCAAAATCTTTTAATCCCTCGATTTGAGTTCATACACCCCCGAGGGTGTGTCCGAATCCCTCAAACCAGGGCTCTGATACCAACTTGTAACGACCCAATTTTCACGCCCAAAAATTTCATTTAAATTAAGTAGTTTGTAAAACATTTGTAGTAAAACATCATCCGATCATATCATTTCATAAAACATATCTCGTGTCTGAAAACCCAAAACATGAAAATAATAATAATGTCATAGTACAATCCCATAACATCTCATAATGCGGAAAACCAAAGTGTGTGTGTATGATGTGTCGCTACCGCGCCAGCTCCTTCCCCTTCGCTGAAGAGGTAACTAAAACCAGCAAAACTGAAAACTGTAAGCACGAAGCTTAGTGAGTTCCCCCATCGTACCACATACCATACAATCATATCACATACATATTTCCATACATTTTGGGGTGCCCGACCTACCCAGTACAACCATTCTGGGGTGTCGACCTACCCGTACGACCATTATGGGGTGCCGACCTACCCATGTGGCCATTATAGGGGTGTCGTCCTACCCGTGTCAAGCCATTCTGGGGCGCTGACCTACCCTTGTCGAGCCATTCTGGGGTGCTGACTACCCTTCGGTCCTAATAAACGAACCTCGGGGACTATTTCACCCCTACTACTACTATCACATATATCATAGCATAATCTATTGTCAGACATATTTGGGGTGTCCGACCTACCCTTCGGTCCTAACAACCGAATCTCGGGGACTCTTCCCCCTCCTACTACCTCTATCTTATGTAACATATCATGCTAGCAGCTAAACATGTCATAACATACTGTTAGGCATATCTGGGGTGCCTAACCTACCCTTCGGTCCTAACAACCGAACTCTATCACTATCATATACCATATCACGCTAGCATATAACATATCAGGTAGTCACAACACAGATGAATATCACAAAGAAAAACATCTAGCATATGATCCCTACTGGTGGGCCGACATTGTGGCCGTAGACCCACCGCTACTAGAAGGTAACTCACCTCGTAGTAGTTGCTGAACTATGCAGGAATCCTCCGACTGCTGCTGCTACTGCTATGGAAATCCTCTGGCTAAAATTCCCACAAAACACTTAGTCAGAAACTAACACTTACTCTTAGGGTAAAATGACTCTTTTACCCCTTGACCAAGTTAAAGTCAAAGTCAACTTCTAGTTGAACTGACTCGCCGAGTCCCTATCCTTCCAATAGACCTCATACCCATCTCTACTCATCGAGTTTTCTTTCTAAATGAACACTGACTGAATCCTCATCCGACTCGCCGAGTTGTATGAATAACTCGTCGAGTTCATCATTAACTGATACTCATGTCCTGCCTCTGACTCACCGAGTTATATGAACAACTCGTCGAGTTACTCTTCATCCTATGAACATGTTCTGTCCTCGACTCGCCGAGTTGATGAACAACTCGTCGAGTTCTATGAAGATTGCCTTGGACTCGCCGGGTTTGTTTATGCACTCGCCGAGTACCATGAATTTCTAGAACAATTTTCTTAGTTCAGAACGTTGGGTCACTCCCCGGGACTCCTTAAAACCTTTCCACACTCATCTGGTTCTTTTGACCCTCACTGATATGGGACAGAACCCTTGGACTCGCCGAGTCGGTCACATCCCTTCTTAAGACTTCGATTTCTGATGTACAACACTTGACCAGAAGGTAGATCCAGGCCCCTAAACTCGATCTAGCACGTAAAGTTACAAACTTTATGTGCATGCATGGGACTTTTGAGCTTAAAAGGCTCTAAAATGGTTCTTTTGTTGCATGGGGCCTTCCTCGAGTGCAAAAGCAACCCAAATCTGTCTTATGACTCCAAAATAACATGATCCAGAAGCTCAAACCCCCAACCATGTTTGCAAACATGGTTGGCCACCAAAAATGGC